GGCTGAAAATTAATTTACACAATTGCACCATAATAGGATTACTGTCAAAACCTAACAAAAGTATGTTTTGTAACATTTGTTTCACCTTCAGAAAAAGGCACTGCGCTTTTTATAAAGGTGTCCTCTATTAGACACCTACAATAAAACGTTTTATAATATCATTATTTTTATGACTTTAAATAGTATTTATATTTTTATGAATGAGATGAAATTGTCGACACTGTTGTAAGATATATTCATAAGCTGTTAATATAAACAATTGAAAACATTTCCTTTGTTTATCAAGGTGCAATAAAAACGAGTCTCAATTTCTTATTCATTAAATATTTATCTAATGGGACATACACTCGATATCTGAGATTTAAGGAAGGAGAAAAAATCTTTTTGGACCTGTCAATACTGCTCTTGAAACATGAGTCAATTGTTCATTGAGAAGGTCGCTCCTTATTCTTGGTATCTTTGTGTTACATTAAGGCTTGCACTACTTGTGTGATTTCTAAATTAGGAATTTGGGTTCATTTATTCTGATTTGTTTGCATGCTGAATATAAGTTGAGTGTTCAAAAGTGGAATGCTATTTTTATTGTCAGTATTGTTTTTTTTCATGACTCTTTTTAATTGAATGAACGGCAATTAGTTGAGCTTGTTTAAATTTGAATTTATTTCACTTTAGTGTTACAGCAGTACCTCAAGAAGCTTGCAGAAATCATGATCATAAAGTAGAAAACTATCGTAATTGTTTGACGAGTCTTACACTTCTCATTCATTATCGTATATAAAACGGTGCAAAGAGATGAATTAGACGTCCAAACGTGCTTTTTGGCGGATGAAAAGGCGATATTTTAGCATGTAATATTCAAGCGCCTTGTCCGGTATATATCAGAATACGGTATTTAGTGTAGCACCCAAAAACGTTTTTTTTTTAAGTCTCACTCTTCAACTTCTTGATATGTTTTATACACTTCTATTAAATCAATGCTTGAATTGCAGTTTTAACTCCATGTGTATTATATCGCTAAACCATTTAGGCGTAAAGTATTGATTTGAAAAATACTCTTCCCAAGTGTTTCTGATACTTCAGACGACAATTGTATAAACAAATATAACTTTCGTCTTTTGGTAAACTTTCTTTGATTTTGCAAATAATAAAAGATATTTGTTTATTCTATTTACTTAATCTTTAAATTGAAAAACATAACAACAACAATCGAAAAGTCCAAAAGTATCAGACTGGGTTACTTGATTGCGTTATATTTTTTATAACCGTGTCATATGTTAACCTTATCGACGTCTGAATGCTGCAAAATTAGTTGATATTCCATTTTCGATGCCTTAAAATAACAAAAATAAGTGTTGCTCGCATTGAATTAATACAGTCATGTTTTATTGACCGTATAAGAATATAATGTACGAAGTCAAAAAACCTTTAAATGTTTATAGTTCTCAGTAAACATTGATTTGAATTAGCAGCATGACTTGCTTATATGCAATCTTATTATTGCATTTCTTTGCTTTTAGCTTTGAATATAAATCTAAGGGGGGCAACAATCGTACGATACTGACATATACAGCAGCCTCCCTTTGTCAAAGAATTAGTCAAGCATTAATAAACGTTTTATGTTTCAATATATCGTGCTTATAAAATCATATGCATTATACATGTATATATTCTATTGCCTTGGTTAATGGATACTGTTAATTGACAAATTAGGAAATTTTATATATTAAATGAAAAAAGAAAAATGATTTATGAATATTTTATAAACGTTTTTAATGATACACTTAAAATCAGTTAAGAAATCAAAACGAAATATAATTTGTGTGTGAAAAATATTTAACAGTTCAGAGAAAAACACATTCCGACTTATGAAAGTACATTGCTTGTCAGTTCTTCTGAAGTGTTAAAACTCATGCATGCATTCACCATTTAATTTCTATTTCTGTCAATCAGAATAATTTAAGCCCTTTTATCATAATGAATTGTGTCGAATTTAGTTTGCCATTTAGGCTTCATTTAAGCTATCTTTACTCCATTTCATAGATAATCTCCCCAATATGCTGCATGTAATGCCAGGAAAAAAAACTGTTTTCAATATTTATAGGATAAATAATTATCTTATCCAGGGCTCCCTACTCTGAACATTAAGTTAGTTGTCTAGTAGTAATAGCTGAAAACCAATATACTGTACAATAAATAAATAATTAATTATAAATAAATTAGTAAATAAATAAATTAAAATGATAAAGGTGATTATAAATAAAAATTAAAAAAAAAGACATCAGAAAAAAAAAATTAAAATATAAACAAACGTTTCAAATTAATAAGTATGAATATGTCTTTTGGTTTATCCGAATGTTATATATATATAAACAAGCATTCAAGTCAACATTGTCATTTTTTTTTCGAGAAAAAATATTTAAACTTGTCTTTTTTATTTTATAAATTAAATAATAATTGCAAACAATTTTGATAGAAAATTATAATTAAAGGAGTTATCCTAGTCAAAACTGACTACTTTCTGTTAAGTATAATTTCTAATATATAAACATATGTGTCTAATATGACGTGACAACGAAATTTCTTAACGTATTTAGTTCATGTCATTTAGATTAAAGTAGTTTTGTTATAACCATTTTTTAATTAAGTAGTCTGAAAATCTGGAAATTTAATTGATTTTCATCATCATCTATTTAAAGTTTAAAAATATATATTTTGTCATATATCGATCTCACAGTCTTTCAACCAAACGATTAAAAAATATTTACTCTGAATAATACAATATTTCCAGATATTGTCAAAAACTTGCAATGTGTTTTCAACAGTTGGACTAGCAAAACTAGTGGTAAATTTGAATCGACAAATCAAATGAATGTAACTTCCATTGACCAAACCCTTTTTCAAAATACATGTAGATGATTTACTATGTTAGCAAATACGGGCATGTTTGACCAAACATTGAAATATAAGCTCACTGACCACTATATATAAATAAATTCATCGGAAACTGCGTTTATTGGCTTACTCCGCTTATGTTAGACACTATATCGAGTAGAAACATATATAGTAGTGCGTCGACTATTGATCCTTTACATTTAATGATGACAGCTAGCTTTGGAGTAATTCGCAGTCAAACGTTGTGTAATATATAAAAAATAAAACATTTTATTTAAATATAAAATCTGATAAAGATTTGTTATCTCATTCATTTCTGAAAACATTGGACAACAATTCACTGGATAGGAAAATTCTTTTAATTACACCAAAGACAATTAGTTGGACAAATATCACAATATTGTACAAATATTGCCTTAAATCGAATTTGATTTCTTCAAATCTATTTTAATTTTACAAAACTTGATTTGACGAAAGGAACGGTTTTATCAATTATAAAAAGTTTATCCATACATAGTATGGAACAACGGACAACATTATTTTAGCGAATATTCTATAAAAAAATTTATTCCAAGAACGAATTTACTGTAACAATATACTACTGGACAAGTGTTTGAGAAACTTAACCAGAAGCAACGAATCGTGTAATGCACCATTGGGCTGTGTTTTGTAAGGTAAATAAAAATCTCTTTAAAACCTAATTAATTTTTTATTACTAGGACTGTTTTTTTTTTGGCAAAACATAATTTCAGTTATACGGGTTGATTTTGTCTAAATGTATTGTTATAAAATTATACAATAGACTAGATGACTAAATGCATTAAAATGGAAATGAAGGATATATATATTAATATCTTTTTTCTTTAGGCAGGCAATTATTTTGAAATTTGATAGTTTTGCTAAATTTCTTCAGTTTTAACATTTAACTATTTAACGCAGAATTTTGTCTTAAAATAGGACTTTATAATAATCAATGTGTACTAAAACTATAACAAATTTATCATGGTATTATATACATTTATATTATCTCAATTTGCATAACTTAGAATAAAGTATAGAAAAGTAACAACGCCTAAACTTTGAACAAAATTTAAAGTCAATATCTTTAGTTAGAAAAGCATAAATATACAGGTGTATAAATGCATGTAAATATATCAAGATTTATTTCAATAATGAAATAGCTGTTTTCAATCTTAACAAGAAAGAAGATATTTTGAAGACTAAATTTTAAAGGGAAGTGCCCATTCAAAATATTCTTCTAAATGGAATAAATCATTTAATCGTTAATAATGAAAAAATAAAATTAGAAATAAAATCCGTATTAAAAGAAGTGTGCGTATCCACGACATTTTCTAATATCTGAAATGTGATAACAGATACTCACATTTTAGAATGAAGCACATTAGATAGAAAAGTTTAAACTATACTAAGTGTATATGCTAATTGAATCCAGTTCTAAGTTTATGCATTTATAGTTTATAGTGCAAACATTCTCACCAAGTATTCAGCACCTTGCAATGTAATGGTCCGTCATAACGGTTCAAAATGTTAGCAAAAAGCTATGCACTCAGTGTCTAAACATGTCAGATATTTATGCTTTAATATAAATATTCATATTTGTGATAAAATGAAAAAAGAATGTGTGTGTTATCTAGAAAATACTTCATTCGAGCATTGATAAACCTTTGAAGAGAAGAATGAACTTTTTTTTTTAATTTAAGATATACTTTGCTCATCCTTGAGAAACGAAATTTATTGAAATCTATGACATTCATAATGAATATGTCTAATTTTAATGATAAAAAATGAGTAAACTGTGTATAGGAAGCTGCGTTTTCGATAACGGGACAAGTAAAATCGATCATTTGTTAAAAAAAGCCAGTGTTTGAAATGACACTATATATTCATATTGTGACCACATATTATGTGTTGAATTTTAAACATAACATATCTACTTTATGTGAAGTACAAAACATGTTCATTTTATTTTACAAAGAGAGTCTAAAACAATTATCAATATTTTCTTAAATTTCAGCATAGTATATCTTTATAAATGACACGACGGTATTCTTCGAACATTGCTTAGATGTTTGCATCATACATTTCAGATATGCCCACAACTGTGATTGCCTACCGACTTTCAGTGTATTTCTCCCTGTGCCTGACAGTGTCTAGTCTCTACCTACCAGAGATGAAAGAGCAAACAAGCATAAGACAGACCAGGAGCGCTCCGTTTACAGACCCAAACCCGTTAGAACGGCAACAACGATCAATAGGTAAACATTACCAGTAAATTAAAAAAAAACATATTTGCGTTTGCTCACTTTCTTTCCAGATTTTTACACTTCACAACAGCAGGCGTCAAGTGCCGTGTCGCAGCTGTAAAAAGTTACCCCGTACTTCACTTACTGTACTGTTGTTATATTTTTCTGGTCCTTCGGAATCGTTGATGCCAGCACAATTAAGTGTTGAGTACCGCTAAAGCCGGTGCTACGGGGCGTGAGGGATGTTGCACTTATTCATTATCCCTCATGTACAGACTCAATCAAATCGAGTCTGCATTTTTCATGTAATTTTGTTGTGATTAATGCTTTCGAGGGATCACTTTGTTTCCAGATTTTTAATGTCTGAATTGGATAAAAATCTACTAAGTTTAACAACCTTACCTGCTCTTTAATTTTAACTAAACATTATTCTCATTATAGGTTCCAATATAATCTTATTCTCTAAAGTATCTGCTATCTACTATATTATATCAATATGGAAAACAAATTGCACAAACAATTTTTCATTACCAAATCCCACTTCGATATTTTGGCCATGTCATACTGGCATACCTTGTGGAGAGTTTATATATTGTTATGTGATCTTTGATTATAAGGTATAAGTTAACTATTTGTCTTCAATGATACTACAATGCACTATATTAAGACATATATTATTACATCAATTTGCCGTATACAGGCTTGACAAATTACCATGATTATCAAGTAAATATAAATACATATTGATTATCATTTATATACATGTATATAATAAACAGTGTTTGGTCAATGATAATTACATAAAACACTGTTAATGGCCAGTGGTTATAAAATGTTTAAGCAAAATATGATGGCTACTGTATTAAAAATTCGGTTGAATTGTACTTTTTCTTAAAAGGTATTAAATAAATAATTACATATAAAACATTTTTAGTCTGATGTATAAACATACTTCTCAAAAATTAGGATTGTGACTTATGTTCCTAGAATAATAAAAATGTTCGACATTTCCGCCACAATTTGTACTATCTTAATTACAATCAATATCTAGCAATTTATTACAGGAAGCTATTTTCACACAATACGTCGTAATATCAAACATGAGACATTTATTCCAAGTTAAGACAAAAATAGACAGTTTTCTATCTATTTTATTAGAGTAGTATGCATTTATAACAAAGTAACTGTTGCTTCATTACAATGTAATTGCCCTGTAATCGATGTCCTTGCCTTGTTTGTCATTGATATATATCGAGTATGAGGTAAGAACAATAATATTGGGGGAAGGCATTTATCAAGATATTGCTGCAAGTGTTTCATTCATACAGACATTTGTCTATCATATGCCAATACCGTGTCAAAAGTGTTTTTATTTTGGTTTATCAATACTCGCATCTTACTCGAGTAGCTGTGATTGATATAAGGTAAATATCATTCCGCCCACGATATCAAACTTTATTTCTTTCCTTCCCTTCCTCATAACTCCGCGTACATTTGTTTAATTTTTTTAAACTTCTGTTTTTTGAAAGTAAACTTAATATGCCTGTTTAAAATATTTACTGCAATTTCTAAGAACCCATATATTTTAAACATTTAAAAGAAAGTTTTGAATGACTGCTTATATTGACCTCAACAAGCTAGAAGTTAGCGGGTATTTTCTTAATATCCTCTTTGTGGGTTGTGTGTCAGCGCACTGTCTATTAGTACAATTAAATCGTTCCTTTCAACAAGCATTCAGTGTACTCTCTTTTTATCTGTTATCAATCTAATATTTTGCTGGTTTGTCCTTATTCAATGTATATATACTCGAAAAGAAATATATTATAAATATCAAAGTTTTCATTTATTTTAAATATGCGAACTTTACAAGACATCATAAACAATTGTGTTCAACTAAAATATAAAATTCTTGCAAATCAAACTGGCTTTTCCGTTAGTTTCACCCATGCCGGAAATTTCATCTTGCATGGGGGTGCCAGATGAATCGCTTGCTTTACAATGGCACGCTGAGGATTACGTAATTTTACGTAGTAATGCAGCGCTATTGTAAACAAATAGTTACGGATGTAATGACATACATTTTCATGGAAAATTGTTTTATTAAAGTAAGTATAATGGAATATGGTAGAATATGCAAGAAAAAAATAACTGACATATGTTTGCGATTCGGATCGGAATATCCGTCCCTCGGGAACACGCCAAGCCTCGTTACCGCCCAATAGGCGTGTCCCCTCGGGATGGATATTTCGATCCGAACCGATAATATTAAGGTTATTGAGATAAAAAAAAGCTTACAAAAGCAATAAGCTACATGAGACGTGAAATCTAGTGACAATAACAAATCGCCATATAGGAATACGTCAAATATTTCCTATGAATGAATGGCATAAAAAGTATATATAGTACTACAAGTCTCCGTCCGATGCCCCGCTGGCATCCTGTGTGACTTAATGTTTCAGGGCACTTCTGTGAAGATTGCAATCCCTTGTTGATGTTTGCTCCTAGAAGTTTTTTTCCCGAATGTTTTAACACTTATCAGTATATTCTCTTTTTTTACAGATCAAGACCGATCGCAATGGGGTAAGCGTTCCGTTTATAATGTCTTCTCGAAAATGATGACAAGACATGCGAATCGACATAACAATGATAAAGTATTTGTAGACAAGATGTTCAATTTATTTGATCTAGACGGTAATTATATATATAATTCATTTTGTTTATACTTTCTATCAGTAATCGGTTCCTACTTGCTTTTTATTGAATGCAATTAATATGGTAGCATCACTTTATTATAATGAAAGCATTCGGCATACAAAAACAATCTAAAACAAATAACACAAAATAGCTTGACAGAAAAGAGCCAAAACATAGACACATGTCCAGCATTAAGACGACAAGTTTTAAAAAAAAACACAAATTTCATACAACTATGGCTATTTTGATGATGAACGAAAACCCAAAACAGATACATCCCTTTCTTCTTCTAAATGCAATTTACCGTGGCAATTTGAAACAGTGACCGGAAGAATCGAAATCTTTTATATGATAGAAAATACACTGGTGATTTGCTGCCGCCTTCATTACGTATTCAATGACCTTTGCCAATAGAAGTGGGCAGGCAAAATTGTTAATCAATAACAAATGATTAGGCTGTAATTGTTGCAGAAATTTCATTAGGGTTTGTTAATACATGAATGCATGTCTCATGGTCAAAAAAGGTCAAATTAAATATAATTGTACAAAATGATGCTTGGTATTTATCAATATGCGAGCGCCAATAAGCGACTAATTTGATCATTGTGGGGCTTAAAGCAGCGGGTTATAGAAGAATCTTTATTTTTGGCAAAGAGGATATAGAATATCAGGATCGCAAATGGCTTAAAGTCGAACTCTAATAGTGCTTATTTATAACAATAAAACACCATAATTAGGGTACAATGTAATTCAAACAAACCCAGTATGTTCTCACGTTGCAAAAAATGGTTATTTTTACTTATAACATCATATTATCTTTTTTATATACTATATACGTCTCTAAAAGGTTTGATCATTATAAATTATTTTCTTTCTTCAGGTGATCGGGTTATAGAAAGAAGAGAATTCAAAGCAGTGCTGCAAATATTAGGTATAGTCAGTCATCGCTTTTGAAACTCTAATTATTGACAAAATTTAATGAAAATTACAAATATCGACCTGTGATACACTGTTTATCGTGCATTCGCGCGTTACGTGCATAATTATATTCCACTGAAAACTTAATCACGCGTGAATGCACAGTTACACAACCGACAGAGTTTTCTGGAACATGAAAACGCAACATAAGTCTTACACGAACTTCTAAAATCGGACTCTACAGCTGCTGGAGGGGGATTCAAAGGAAAGACTTGAAATCAGTTTGATGACACGACACGGTCCACTGCATGGTCCATTGCTGTGCACACAAAATAATCAAATCTATATGATACAGACCACATGAACAATAATGTTCTGCAGTAAATTTTAAAGCGAATTTACGAAGCATAATTCCTTTTTACTAAATTAATCATGATGTAAAAATTTTGTTAAAGTGAAACTATTATTATTATTATGTTTTATCGATTGATTAAGTATTTATAATCATTTGTCACGGATGTTTCAGTTTCAAATTTAATTTTTCATATAATTCATACAATTCAATATCAAACGCTACAGGGCTGCTAGCTAGTACTTATTTAAAACTAAAGAACTCATATATAACGCTATTGAATGAATTGACGATGTGTTTGAAGTTCTTTTTTGCAGCTGGATATATTTTCGATCTTTTTGCCTACCTCCAGTTTATCCATTCTTCCTATCTTGCTTAGAAGTATTGTGTTTGAAATACCTATAAAAATGATACAAAATGAAGCTGTCATAATCGTTTTATACTTACTTGATAAATGATACATTTTTTCTTATGACTTTCTTATGTAACTAAAAATTTTAAAAATTCGTTTTCATGTTTTTTTAATACGATACATGCATTTTGATTTACAAGCGATAAAACATGCGCAAAAGAAATGCAAAAAAGCATAAATTTGTTATATTCAATTTGCACAATCGTAAGTAACAAATAAAATATAATATTTTACAATAATTGTACTTGCTATCAAATGTTTATAAATGAAAGTGTTACATATTGTTCATGACAAATGATGGTAAATAAACACTACCGTACAAACATCCCTAGCACCAGCTTATGCTTAATACAATTCAAAAACTTGGTATTCAATAACATCTACAAATGAACACTTTAAATGATTATAAAGCTGAAATTTGAAGATGCAAACCATATAAATTTGTTTTATATACAGATATATCCTGACACATTTTGCCATTTGCTTTAAAAATGTGTAAGATAATTTACGAATAAAAACCCTTTCTTTAGCAACTAAGCACAGTATTTCTATGATTTTCGGTCAAAAGCTTGACTTTTCATGAACAATACAAATAATGCACTATAATTTGAAATTTAAGATTAAATGGAAAATGTTTATACATACATTTGTATTACATTATCGTTAAAATAAAACGGTGTTTCAAATATTTGTTTGGTCAACAACAACAACAACAAAAAGGGATCAAATGTAATTGGTGTTATGCAGTTATACAAACAGCTGAGTTTCGATTAGAAATTGTTATACTGAATTTGAAAGTAAGCGTATAAATGCTGATAAACATTGTGGTTGTGGTATTATTGTACTTTCTTGACTAGACAGAAAATGGAATGATTTAAAACTATATTTATTTGAAGATGTTGATTTCATAACTATTCTATTCTTTAATCAAACATAAAGCGAATTAGCTAAACAGCACTATGTTTCGCAGTACAAATCCATACGACAGGATATCTACTCAGAAGTTATAATTTTGCATACATATTTGGACAAAATTCAAAAATTACAAATTAGTTCAATTGTTAATATTTAAGACGAATTTTTATCTTACAGGCCTTGCTAGAAAACTCTTATTTTACATAAATATTTGGACAAAGGTCAAAGTTTGCAAGTCAGTTCTGTTATATTTTGACAGAGGTACTCGGTACTAAATTAACAATGACTGTTCTAAAACAGTATGCTTAAAATTGTATGATTTTATATCGAAATTATTTATTTTAAAGTATATTATGAAATTAAATTAAAAGTTACAAGTTCGAATATATTTTGATTACTGGTATGGGAGATGAGAAAATGATTTGTTGAACAGTTTCATTGATATATTTTGATGTATATTTGCTAAAAGAAGATATAGAATTATATGATTATTTATTATAACTTTGAATATATTTTAAAATTCTTTGTTAAGAAAATCTATGTATATTTGTGTAAATGCTAAACATGCTAATTGTTAAAAATGTGTTTTACTTAAAAATGTAGTACTTAAATAAAATATTGAAAGCTTTGTTTATGATTCTCTTATCAACTATAGCAAAAACATTTATAAGCAATCAACCAAAATAAATGAGAAACCATGAAGCCAAATTGTCTCTGCAAAATGTTCTTGATTGATAACGAGGCCCAGTCTAAACTATGATTTCTTTAAATATTATTGCAAAATGTAATTAATCGCGATACATGTTAAACCATGATTAAGTAGGGGTGGAACGATACGACGAAACTTGTATCGCGATAAATTACGATAAATGCATCCTAGTTCGCAATACATATCTCGATACACTGATTATGATGAAGAAACAATAGAAAACTAAAGCTACTTTATATTAGAAATTATGAAAGTTCAATAAACTATGAAAAGCTTTTATATTCATATAATAAAAAGTATGTAAAGAATCTAGTATTTGTCAAACTATCAAACAAATACAACATTAACGCTGAGCTGACATAAATTTTCTCTGTGCATCTGTGCAGACAGACTGATTGACACTGTACTTTGCAAAATCTCTGAACAATTTACGTCGTCAGAGGTTAAGGCTTTGTTGCAGCTTACTTAATTTTAATATTCAGGTCTGATTTTCTTTTTTAATGAAATTGTACCAAATTCTACTTTATAACTTTTTAATGAAATTGTACCAAATTCTACTTTATAACGTTAGCAATTTCTATCTAATCCATCTCGCCCTCTTATCTGTTATAACAGTGAGTGATTACTGCCATTTTGTCTCTTCGTCCCTCAAAATTCGAAGGCGAGAACACGATAATATGTTCACTTATTGGGTCTTCACTTTTGACTTTTGAGGGCGCCGAAAAAAGACACAAACTGATGATATTTAAATAGGCGAAAACAAGCGATCTTTTTCAGATAAATAATCATATCGGCAGTAAATATCTTCATATCGGCGCCTTATATTTGTCGTGTTGTCGCCTTAAAAAGCGAAAACATGACAATTTGCCAATTCATCGAGTCTTTAGACACGATATTGATCAGTGTTTCGTGCTTCGGGTCGTCGTGTCTTCGCCTTCTGATTGTCACGCTCAAACAGTTACACATAATTATGCTGACTTGATGTTAACATCAACAATGTAGCGGATAACTATCTATCTTTACAGGACAATTTCAAAATTTGAATTAAATATTCACTTAATAAGTGAAATGTCCATTTCGCGAAATCAGCATTGTCTAATTGTTTTGCGCATGCCTACAGGAGGGCGAAGACTTGAAACATTGCTAAATATTGTGTCTTCGAATTCCGGAGCGAAGACACGAAGACTCGATAAATTGGTCGTAAATTATCGTGAATTTGCCTTTCACGGCGAATTCACAACCACATGAAAAATATAGGGCTCCAATTTTACCCGCCGACACGATAATCCTACAAAAGAACTCAGGTCTTTGCCTATGAAAATATCGTTATTTCGTCTAACTGAGCATATTATAATAATACTACGGCGGCCAATTTCGTGTCACAGTGTCTTCCCCCGTCAAAAGGCGAGGGAGAAGACACAATATTGGCCACCATAATGTTGTTCTATTAGACTGTTAACACGAATTATGTGACTTAACAATAAGAGCGTGTTACATTATTGGCATGTTATTTTAGCGGAGCGACTGTAAATTAGTAGTATTTAGTACCAGCATAAAAAATGCATTGGTAAGAAAATAAGAAATAAACTCTAAATCGGTATCTTTTGTTCCATATTCAATGCCAACATACGGACATTCATGATTTCGTTTATTTATTTACAATGCAAGTCTAAATGTGTGCAGTTATATTTTAATCAAATGGAGGGAAAATTAAAAACAAATATCACGGCACGAGAATTCTGTATCACAGTAAGTATTGTTTGATGCTGCACCACAGGCATATCTCCATATCATTACACCTGCATCCTTTAAGAAAATGTCAAAAAGCTAGCATTACATACATCTGCAAAGTTTAACAGGTCTTATAGACTTTGTCTCACAACTGTTTTTCCTTTCAACCTTGTTTAGCAGACAAAAATCTTAACCCGTCATGATCTCGCTATCACAGTGTCAACATGTGACGTTCAAACATATACACTATGTCTATGAAATATATGTAATTACTATGCATTAAATATATCAAGTGTGCTTCAAATGTTTTAGATACTCGCAAATGTAGGTGTTTGCTTGCTGACATCCGTATATTGTCTAATATCAGGTTATTTTGCATGAACACTAAACCGCTTTTGCTTTCTTTTAGCAGGCTTTACAGCACATTTTCTAGTACTTTTGTCTCATTTACATTTGACAATGTTGACATTCAGATAATTATCTTCCATCTGTTAATGAAATAAAGAATATACTTCAGGTAGACTAAGGTGAAAATTGTGTTCAATATCTTATTTTCTTGTTCTGAAATTATTTTTACTTTTGTTGTTAGCTTTAATTTGTATCCAAAATATGAATACAAAGATCAATGACCAACGAGAACGTCTTTCATGACACGCAACCCCAAATAAGATCCACCCAAACAAGTCTACCGAACAGAATCCGGACTTGGACGAGGGCAATTTCGCAGTAAATCTTAAAACGTAAGAAACGGAAGATGGAAAAAGTTAGTTTAACGAAAGTTTTCCTAAACAAAAAGAAAGAAAAAAGAAAGACAGAAAGAAAGAAAGGTAAAGACACTCTTGTAATAATTTCAGACATCCAAAAAGTTCTGCAATGTTTGTTGTGGAAAGTGAGTAGAGACACGCTGATAACCGGTGTAATATGATATAATGTTATAATGCATCGGAGGGATCACCCTTCTTCCTTTTTTTTTAAAATGCGGTGTATTGCTAATTATATATCGTATTATTTTAGAATTATATCAAGTTCAAACACAAATACGTCCAACATTGCATTGCTGTGTTCTCTTAATATTTATCTAAAGGGTGGTCGTGTGTTGTTTATATAGTTACAGACAACTTCATCGAAACAGCGATGATATAAAATGTTTAAATGTCATATTTGTTAACATACATCAGTGTATACATGTATGTTTATAAATATCTTTATTAAGTTAAATTCAAAGAGGGATTGACATGTGCTTTTAATATTCAATATTGTATGCATAATATACACTCTGGAAATGGAAAAAAAAAATTCTGGAAACCAGCGAAGCATTATAAGCGAAATAAATAGACTGGTAAAAGCGAGATCCGGTTTTTGTTGTTGTTGTTGTTAAACTGATTCTATTTTACCAAGTTTATTAAACATAGACGTAAACAATATAAGTTAAATATATTGTTATCTCTATGGCGTTAGAAACTAATTGGATGTCGAACCTCACAACACTCAAATTCAATTCAAAAATTTTGGTGGTGTATAGATGTACCAGAACTAAAGTGATCCGCTGACATTTAAATCGAGTAAAATAATTCTCATATTTTTAATAGTCGCATGCAAATAAATGGTATTCTTAAAGTCTTTTTATAAATAGTTAAACATCTTAGTACCTATACATGCTCTTCTTCAAAGATGCTTTGTTGATGGACCATAAGCTTAAATACATTTGAAATTCTTAAATATATTAAATGCAAAATTTTTCGAAAAATTTACATAAAGTTAAATTGAACAATGATTTTGATGCGATACGAGCAATTTGAAAGTTCGCAACCTAGATTTTCATTAAATGCTCAAAATTGCTCAACAAAGCTAACAAAAATTTAATACCGTCACGTAAAACAAAAACTCAAATGCAACATATGTCGCTTACATTTATTACATCCATATTTAAGTATGAAGAGAGAGTAATATTGATTTGTACGACTACCGATATTAATATTACCGAGTGTTTGTATGTTATTTCTCCTTTTTTTTTAACATGAAAAACCCTTTTTAAAAATGAAACCATGGCTTTTTATTGCGTGGACTAAAACCAACAGCGCTTTTATTACTAAATAATTAAAAATACGGAGAAAAACGATATGGTCCTAACCTTTCCCTTAGGTGTATAAATTTTAATTATTATCTCTTGGGCTTGGCTTATCGTTTAGTCAAACATAATTTTATATTTTTTGTTATTCATTAACATGTAAAGGTACATGCTTGTTTAATTGCATTCGGTAAAAGTCAATATTTGATGATGCAGCGCTGTAATATGAAGTCGTATTGTAATAGCATGCATTTTTAAGGCATATAATGACTTACATATGAATAACTGTTTCCTTCTTAAGAAAGGACAAACAATAGACTTATAACGTTTAAATAATGGCTTTATTTTAACGAATTTGACAGTATTTTGGAAAATATACCAGGGCACTAACAAATAAATGGTTTTGAGAAATAAAAAAAATGTCTGAGGCATAATTGGTTATGTGTAAATTTCATATCCGGGGAGCACCACCCGGTTCAAACCGGGATCTTGTTTATATTTATGACTATTCTTTCTCCATATTAACAAATATGGCTGTAAACTTCAGTTTTTTGAATTTTCCATTTTATTAAAAGAAAAAAATACATTTAATGAAAGAAAAGGGGTGAATTTTTTAAAACTCCTTTTGAGGTTTGTTTTTTGAAAAAAAAATTCAGAATTACTAAAAAACCCTCTTTAAATTTTTCCACACTAAAACCTCATTAAATCCCACATTTTGGAAACCTAACCTGCGGGTTTTGAAGAAATTTTAGAGTTTACTGTAAAAAACAAAAAATTTTTTCAATGGTTGGGTTTTAAGGATTCTGTGACGTTACATTTTTTTAAACTACCAAAACGGGTTCTGGTGACTATGGTTAAAATTTCCCTTTTTTCCGTTTTCAAAAGTTTTTTTAAAATTAAATTTATTTAATGGTTACCCATCCTTGGAATAAATAAATATACTCAGATTCAATTGCCCTTTTAGGGTCAAAAAGCTAAAAATAAAAAAACCTTAACACTCTACTTCTACTACAAAACTAGTTTATGGATGATCACCAAATTTTGTCTGTAACATTCTTTGGTAGTTAAGTGTTGAGAATTGAGTACCGCTCAAGCCGGTGCTAAGGGGCGTGGG